GGCGAACCACTTGTTAGCTCCGTGAATTAGTATCATAAAAAAATAACTATATTCCTGCTCGATCGTATAATGAGAAAGTGAATTATTTTTCGCATAAACTGAAGGTAAAGTACGCAAGTTGGAAAAACGTTTAAAAAGCTCTGGATGATTCTCATCAATTGTATATACTCGTAAATAAAACTCTATCATATTTAGTCTATTGCGTGTGTAACGGCCTTTGTAACGCGCCATTACCGCTGTTTGTTATTCGAATTATCACGCTTTTTGGAACAAAGACGTTCCGATGTAACCTTTTTACATTATTTTCTTACGATAAGGTTTTAGGCACTAGTAACTACAGCTACATTTCATGTAACGAAACAAAATTACATTAGAAAAATAATATTAGATAGCATGTTGCCATTTACCGAAACATTATTAAAATTTAATGTAACACTGACACTGTCAAGTTAGTCATGAGATATGATGGTTTTATATTTAGCTGTATGTAAGTGTTGTGGCTAAAAGAACTCCGTCTCCATAACATATCACATTAAAAGTGTTTAAAAGCTCCATTAGAAATATCAAAAAGACCAATAATAAAAACAAGGCCTAATAAAACCAAACCCATGTCAACAACTTATAAAAAAACCAAATTCCTTCCGTTCGAAAATAGAATGTCGCGACAAACGGAAGCTTTTTAAATCTTGCTACATTCCTTCCTTGTTCTTTTTTTGAAAATTCGGCGGGACACACGCTGAAGCACAGCTGGTTACCATAGATAAGAAAGGCGACACTGAAAAAAATATGTAAGTTGTTAAAAATTAAAATATTTTTTTCTTAATAGGGACCTTGCAAATTGGTTCTTCAGTAGCACGTCGCCACCCGGCTTGGGAACTAATGTCAAGTGGTGTCTGTCTCCAAAGGGATTAAAAAAACTAAAGCACTTATGCTGGAGATAAATCATTTGCTAATTTTATGAGAGTGGGTTTATTAAGTGAACCGTATACTGTTATTAGTGAATGTTTACATCTGCCTATTGACCGTTTAAAAAAAACTTTGCGGCATAGACGCCAAGTTTAGCAGGCGGCGTACCGATCACAGTTAATGACTATTTTCTGGTTCTATCCTTTCTACGACTTCCATAACTACTGCAAAAAGGCCTCATCTGCGAAATTACAACTTTTCAGAAGTCGTTTTTAGTGGCAGTAGAACTAGTTCGTACCCAGAGACGTACTGCCACTTTACCTATTTCTGCCGCAAAGCAGTAACGAAGCATTACTGCATTCCGGTCTTGAAGAGTAAGGGTGAATTTTTTTATATATAATCATTGACTTACAATTATATGGACGTCGGGTCCGCGCTAAAAAGTGTCCGCACTTGTAAGGCGCTAAAATCGTATACAGAGCGCGACACTCCGCTTTAGTCTTCATTTGTTCGACTGACAGCGCGATACTGCGATGACATTACAATTTAAATTTCGAATAGGTTGACTTGGGACATTTTTTTCGTGGTTTTTGTATTAGACCCGTCGTCCATTTATTTGTAAGTCAATGTATATAATCGCTCCGTATCCGAGACTATACAAGTCTAGAAAACTCGGACCCACTGTGGATGTCGTTTGTGCACTAAGTCCGATTCAAATCCGAGAAAATACGAAACCGTTTGTACACCTAGAGATCATTAGAAAAATTGTTTCATGTTCGTTTGTATTATTTTTATGATTTTCATGTGATAAAAGGACTTTCCACGTACTATCATATGTGTTTTATTCATATCAAAAAATGCGCAATATTATATAATACATTGTAAGTACCTTTTTGTGAACAAAATTCGTGTCTACCAAAACTCTTGTTATTGGCTCCAACGCTGACCGGGAAAAGCCAAAAAATGGAAAAAAAGAAAATTGCCTCAGAAGCTTCGAAAAAGACTGATATTTGGACACTGTAGATTTAAAGCTCATTTACATCGTATGCGCATAATAACTTTCCCAATTTGTAAGACTCAAGAAGTGAAGTGAAGAAAAGAAAATGTGTTCTAATGTTTGGTACGTTAGAACACATTTTCTTTTCATGTCCTGCTTTCAGCGACTGCTCCTCAGAGACCGGCTCTTGAAAAAATATCAGACGATCCCGCCTTCAGTACAGGACATTTTAGCTTGCCCATAAAATTTCATCCCTATATATGATTTTATTAACTCCACCCTTGAAGAACTCTGACTTAAAGAAAATATTCGGACTTACCTCGCAACTCCAAAATGACAGTGACTCTGCAACTACAACTAACACAAAATTAACTACAAAACTTGCCAATTTGTCTTGAAATTTTATTTTTATTTATGGCTAGACGCCTTAGCCTGTCCCGGAAGACGAAAAATTTTACTACTAATTAGAAGATGACGCGGGAAATTAAAAAAAAACTGTCATCAAAACTTTTGAGCAAAGATACGTTTTTTAGGGTTTTTCAACAAGAACTTCGCGTTGTAAACCAAAATAAAACCAATAAATTTGAATGACAATGATTTAAATTTTTATTGTATTTAAAAAAGTATGGTTTAGTAATTATGAATGAAAAATGATATCTGATAAATGTCCACCACGACCACAGTTACAGATATCGATTCTTTCATCAAAGTTTATAATCGCTTTTTGACAAAATGGTGGGTCTATTTTTTAATCACTTGAAGAATTTTGAGTTTTATAGACTCTGTCTTTAACATAACCCCGTAAAAAATAATCCAGCAGTGTTAAATCACATGATCGAGCTGGCCACTTAACGGTTGAATTTCGTGAAATTATGCGATCGGGAAATTTGGTCTGCAATAAATTCGTTGTTTCGGTGGCTGTGTGACTGATGAATGAAATACGCAATAACATCATCATTATACAAGCTACCTTTGAATAGACAAATTAGAAAACGTGACTCAAACTATCTGACACATTGTATCGAACTCTAGAAGTTTACCTAATTCACGTGATTTTTCCATAACGACGGACTTAAGTATATTTGCAAATTTTATTGTCTATAACTGTGGTGTGTAGGTGATAATTGAACCACAATGTTATCGTGATTACAAAATCATAGTTGCCATTGTGTAATAAAACACAATTTAAAAATGTATAGTTTTCGATAGCTGTCATATTGCGATTTTTTTTATCTAATTCTTTTTGTGACAACACGGACACTATAGTATGAATCCTAATTAGATATCCATAATGAAAACAAAAGTGATAACCGAACAAAAGAATACATTTGAAATAGTAGTTTCCTATAGGAAATGAAACTATTTTTCCGGATTAAATCGCGTATATTTGTTTTTTCAAACAAGGGTGGTTTGCATTAATATTAGACATAACTGTTTGAAGACTGTATCACCTCAGTCAACCGTGACCATGAGACCTGCAAAGGGCCCGAAACGTCGGTTTGTTTGGAAAAAACATACGCGATTTAAATCCGGAAAAATAGTTTCATTTCCTATGTGTAACAATCGCGAAAACCTAAGAACTCGATAGTAGTTTCCTATTTTTGACAATAATAAACCTTTGAAACATTTCGAAGGTGTAATCTGATAAAACTTAGAACAATTCACATTTTACAGTATACGCTTAGTACAATAATAATTATTATAATTAAAGACTATGTTCAAGGTGACAAGTAGACGAGAAAGTAGACCAAACAGGAAAGTAGACGAAATGGGAAATAGACGAATAGTGAAAGTGGAACGATAGGGAAAGTAGACAAATTGTACCGAAGGGACTTTTTGACACTGGCAATACAATCAGAATCAAAAATTATTTTTTATGCCGCCATTTTATCGTGTCATACATGTAATTCGTGCTTCGATTCTCGAGCTCCAGTGTTTTTTGTCTCCATAGTGCGTTTGTTAAAATATTGTCTGTTGTTGTGAAAGTTTTTTGTTTATTGTTAATAATTTTGTTGCAGATAAATCCAATTCCGTAAAAAAAAAGGTTTAGCACACCTGCATTCACAATTTGACAATGACATTTATTTGTTTACATTTCGTATTTAATTATAATATGTTAACTCTTCATATTTCTACGAAACTTGTTTGATTCTAGTACATTGAATACTTAGCATGTACAATAACTAAGTAGCCCACGGTGTAGTTACTGACAATATTCTTAAAAACCGGAAGCCATAATTGGAAAACGTCTTCATCATGTAACCATCAAAATGAGACCATAGACAATGGAAGTTAAAAGCGTTCGATATTTCAAACTGGAATTGTCAACAACGCGGCCTTTTTAAATTTAGAACCACTTCAGGAACTAATCAGATTTGTAAAGTCGGCGTTTCGGCTTCTTTATTTTGTTCAACCATAGACAACGTTCGGTTCCTTTGTGGCCAGTATGATGGGAAAATATTTAATTAGAGAATAGGTTATTTGTGTTTGTTTTGTGTTAATGTACTCCTTTTGAAGTGTTGGGTGCGTACAATTAACACCTTCCAAGCTACTGGTCCCGTGTTCAATTCTCTTCAGTTTTTATGCATCAATCGTAGTTTTAGGAGTAATTAGTAGACGTATTAACTCATGCGTTCTTTGATGGCTTTATTATGATTGTTATTGTTTTTAAATTTGGAATAATGTTGCAGTATGCGCAAAACTAGTTCCATTTTCTTTTTTTTTTTAATCGTAATGGCGTATTAATGAACATGTCGTTTTGACCGTGGATATCAAGTAGTCCAGACATTTTTAAAGATAATTTGGTGCTTAGAATACTTAAAAATACAAACAGAAGCCATTGAGTGTTTTCAACCCTTTTAATGGAGCCAAACGCTTTGAAGTGCCTAAAAACCGTTTTAGAAAGACCTCCGGCATGTTACACGTGACTTTAGTAGGAATACTATAAAATAAAACTGAGAAAGGTCTTCACAAACTTGCCCATTATTTAGATAAGTAATAATCGACCCTTAAATCTATAACAGTGTACGATGCTTTAGAAAAAAAAAAGGTCTAAGTCAAATAGCCGCATGTTGATTTTTTTTTTTTTTGTTTCCAGAGTCTCTAAGTCCACAATCGGAGCAGATTTCAAACACAAGCGCAGCACCAGATCCGAATATAAGGTATTTAAAAAATATTTTATTTAAATACTTAGTAGCAAAAAGAGGTAATGCTCACTGACTGGTGAAATTACAGGTACATGAGACTTGTAAATTTACGTTTCAAGGTGACAGATGCAGCAGTGTCTGCAGAGCAGATTTAAAGCTCTGAGTAGTACTATGTCGGCATGTCGTTTCCCACCAGGTGCACAACTTGTTCACCTCGTAGCTTGATATCACAAAAAAAGATATATTTTGTCCTGTTTGTAGACTTTAAACTTTAAAACACCATCCGGCCCTAATCGGATTGGAGACCTCTGACATTTTCCCGGGATTGTAAACCTTCTTTAACATGCAGGTTTTATGGTGTTGTATGGACTTCTACAACCCGTCTCTTGGTAGGTACTATAAAAAAATCTGAGTTCCACTACGCCCGTCACCTTGAGACCACATCGAGTATATAACCAGAAATAAAGATGAAATGTCATTTTATTTGTTTAACCGACCTCAAAAAGAAGGAGGTTCTCAATTTGACTGAATGTTTTTTTTTGTATGTATGTTACGCGATAACTCCGCCATTTGTGAACAGATTTTGATCATTCTTTTTTTGTTGGAAAGAGGGTACCTCCATAGTGGTCCCATTTAAGTTTGAAGAAAATCATCCACCTCTAAGGATGGTTGTTCACGCATGAACATTCATTTTTTATAAATAGCGTCTAAATTTTATTATGAGGAGCAATTATTTTAATGGTTGATTTTGCTGTTCTCCAATTCAAGGCGTTTTTCTCTCTCAATATACTTTGAGTAGTGAGAACCGATTTTTATTATCTCCTGACGGGAGTCGTCAATTGTTTCACTTCAAATCGACCAGTTAGCTTGAGCTTTGCTAAAATGGACGAAAATTGCAAAATTACATATATATTATTTAATTACCGGTGAAATTTGATTTTGTTTGCTTTGTAATTACAAGTTTTGCTGTTTTTCCCCACACCACGGAGACGTACACACAGGGCAGTTGTCGGCCTGTCTTTATTTCAGTGCAAACGAGAGTTGATATTTATAAGTGTTATCGCTGATGGCCCTTATTTCGTCTCTATTTCTGGTTTTTTACTCGATGCTTTATTATACCACTGGTACGACATAGATATAAATCATGATGGCGGAATGAGAAAATAAAGTCAATTTTGTTTCAGGAGATATAGAACAGCGTTCACAAGAGAACAACTAGCGAGATTGGAGAAGGAATTCATGAAGGAGAACTACGTGTCGCGACCTAGGCGGTGCGAATTAGCAGCCCAGTTGCAGCTACCAGAATCCACTATTAAGGTAAATTTGCCTATTCAATTTTCGTTATAAGGGGGTATAATAACATCAGTTGATTACAATGGATGCGTTTACGAGCTTTTCACAGTAATTAGTTTGAAAGTACAAGAGATGAATCAGGTTAAAACAGATTTTAAATTTCACGCGGCAAATTCACAGAGACTGGCCGCCATTTTGTTTCCAAGTCTCTCAGAACCAAAAACGCCTCTTGTCAAAGCGCGTTCGTTTAGAGCGGTTACACACGGGGATTTTCAGCAGCGATGTAAACGCGACGCAAGCGCGCGTTTGTATCCATCCAATAGCGTGTTTGCATCGATGCAATCGCCTATAACAAATTACAGGAAAAAATGACACCTGTAAATCTAAAACGTTCAATTAAAAGTCACTTTAAGAAAACAAGTGTGTTAAACACTTCATTTAATTCGTGATCTGGAGCACGAGCATGGTCTGATCAATATCACGCAAGTGCAAAAACTGGTTTTTGTGTTGCATTTTACGACATTTGATGTTTTGTTGCACATTATGCTTTTGTTAATTTTGTCAATTCTATACTTGTAAGTAAAATAGGTTACTTTTCTGTCGTGTATATTTATAGGTTTGTATGAGGATTGTGCAGCACCCAGACAAACCGATGTAGGCTTAGGGGTGTCAAGAAATCATGTGATGTAATATTTTTTAAGTGTTTGGTGTAATAAATAAATAAATCGCAAGTGTAGCGATGCGTATAGGGTTTCACAAACGTCGCCGTGTGTAACCACTCTTAGAAAGCATTGACCTTGATGGTTCACTTCCCTCCTTATTTTCATTTTCTTCTCTTTCGTATCACTCTTGATAGAGTGGTCGTGGTCATCACGGAGTACGTTTGTTAACGGCTGATGTGGCTTGCCTCACGACATCACGCCATCTCTCTCTGTTAGTGGACTCCCTCGTGCACTCATGTAAAGGACCGCCCACTGCACAAATTATTTGATTGGTCCATCGAATGGGTGACCTTCTGCGCAGTCTATTACCCTCCACTCTGCTCTGCACAACAAGACGTTCTATGGAGTCAAAATTCCGTCTTGAGACATGACCGAAGAATTTTAGGATGCGAGTTTGCACCACAGTAGACAGACGCTGCTTGATGCCGAGTTCTTGGAGTATGGAGGCGTTTGCACGAAAGTCTGTCCACGATACCCCAAGCATTCTTCTCCAGCACCACATTTCCAGAGCGTCTATCTTCTCCTTCTCGATTTCACGGAGCGCCCATGTCTCTGCAGCGTACAGAAATATGGGGAAAACTAGTATTCGGACCAGCCGGATTTTAGTGGCCTTGGTAATGTTTCTATTCCCCCATATCATCTTCAGTTTATCGAGTTTCCCATGCGCGAGTTAACGAATAACTCATCCATTGCTGTACTAGATATTATTTTCATAAAAACTGTATTCATCCCCTAGTTTGCCACCCTTAGAGGTGAAATATTTTCTTCAAATTTAAATGGGATCAATACCAATGTACTTTTATTTACTTTCCAACAAAAAAAGAATCATCAAAATCGGTATCCCGTAACATATATGCAAAAATAAAATACACCCAAATTGAGAACCTCCTCCTTTTTTAAAGTCGGTTAAAAATAATCAAACTGTTCCCTTGATGCAATAAGGGCACATCTGCAAAATGGCAAATTTTCAGGAGAGATTTAAAAATTCTACGAATTTGAAATTAATTTTTTATGCTTAAATTCCTATTACAATCTCACATATACATAACTTGTTTCATGTAGTTCGTATTATTTTCATGATTAAAACACAAAAGACAATGATCACGCGTGGCTTTTTTATACCAACAAGGGTCTGAAATGATATTTAATAAAAAAGTCGATCTCAAAAGTCATTCATCCCCTAGTTTGCCACCCTTAGAGTTGAAATATTTTCTTCAAACTTAAACGGGACTACTACTGAGGTACCCCCTTTCCAATAAAAGAAGAATCATCCAAATCCATTCACAAATACCGTAGCATAATAACAATAGGTACATACAAAAAAACATGCAGCCGAATTGAAAGTTTTTGAAGTCCGTTAAAAAGTTTTACTAGTATGTTTAACTTTCACGGTTTATTTTGTTATAAGTAGTATTTTTTATTGCATTAATACCTATAATTTGTACAAAGAATTTGCGTTGAATATTGACTCGAATAGAGTTTAAAGTCCCATGAATTCAACAGTGAATGCTACAAATTTCTAACAACGTGATAAATGTCATAAAAGCGCGAACACAAAAACAGCCAATTTCGACATAGTCTCTTTTTAACAAATCACCCACGCACACCCTTAACTGAAAAATGGCCGAAACGCAATATCGCCAAAATGGAGGAGAGAACAATTTTAGTAGCGACGACATAATTGCTTCATAACACCCACTACGCGTCCTGAATACGACCTAAGGTCAATTATAACACTTATAACGTTTATCTGAGTAGAGCTAAAGGGGTCATTTGTGTAATATCATTTTGTGACAGAGACACTTTAGAGAACCATTTTGTAAAATAATTGACACTATTTATCGATTTACACATCAGTGGTGGCCTATAGTGCGTGAGTGGACCCTTTTCAACTGAGAGCTTCGCTGTGGCGTCATATCAATACCTCCAATGGAATGAATACTACGTCAACTTAATTTTTGGGCATGTTCTCTATATAATCTCTCTCTAAGATCTTTGTGCTTAGTTTTCAACGATTTTTAGCCGTAGCGCCATCTATGAGATATCTGTGAAAGTATTTCGTCACCCAGTTAGGTAACTTTACAGCTACCAGCCCTAAAGATGTCGCTATTAACTGTAATTAAATTTGTATTGAAATGATATTCAATAATTTTTTGTGAATTTACTCCACTAGTTTGTTATAACTATTAATACAAAGATCGAATATTTAAAAAAATTTTTCGATCCGGCAGGGTTTGTTTGTTTTTTTTTTTACAAAATTCGGGGAACATAATATTAGTAAATAAATATGACTGTTTAAAAAGTAATAAGTACCAGGATCTCTCGTCCGACTACCTATTTACAGCCTTTGGAGTCGAAACCCTTGGCCCGTGGGGTCCCAGTGCCCTTCATCTGTACAAATTTTCTCGAAAAAATTAATAGACTGTCTGGGAAACTCAAGGGCCGGCTACCTTGCCCAACGCAATAGCATAGCAACACAAAGGGGGAACGCTGCCAGCATCTTGGGGTGCTTGCTGCAATATCAATTCAATAAAAATTTTAAATACAGTGAATAGCGACACCTCTCGCCAGGGCCGGTAGCTGTAAAGGTATCTAACTGGGTGATATAACTTTCATAGATTTCTCATAGATGGCGCTACGACTAAAAAGTCGTTGAAAAACCAAATACAAAGACGACGAAAAGATTTCTAATTTCATTATTTTTGTTTTAGTTTTTAATAAAATACTATTTCAATGATTTTGTGACAATTATTAGGAAAAGATTCTTCATGAAAGCAATCTGCCTGGCTTAACAAATACATACATTCATATAATACATTTATTTCTCTCGTGAGTTAAGGTTTAATTTGTGGTCGTCTGTGTGTGTGTACATGGCACCCGCGATACAATGTTTCCCTAGTGCGGGGTTGTGAAAAAGAAAACGTGGTTGTGGAACGTTATCAAAGTTATATTTTAAAAACAACAGCTGATCTGCTTTTTTAGCTTACAGTCTGTTTCAGGAAGGTTTGTAAATTATTCCAAAATTTACAAACCTTCCTCCTTTGGACGACTCGAACATCCGCAATAAATATCAGCATTGATGATTCCCAATTTAAACAGCTGAGTGTACAGAAGCATCCGTTTTCGTATTTTCATCATCAATATCTCCATAAAAGGCAAATGATGACGCATATCAATTATTAGAGCCGTATAGAGAATGATGCTTTAATTAGATACTCAATTATTTCCATCACAATCGTAATTTCCACAACTTCCATTTACGGCTCACAATTTCAAATTCGCGATATAACTCTATTCGGCAAAACATAAAAACTAGTGTAAATAAAAATTTGTTGCTAACTTAACTTTGCGCATAAATATTCGAAGCTCGCCTGTTTTTAGCGTTTGTTATATTGTTATTCAACTATAAATGGTAGTTGTAATCATAAGTCAATTAGATATTCCATTATTTCTATAGAGAACGTAGAAATACGTCTGTTAATTCACAGAAATATTATGTGTTAAATGAACAATCTAAGTGATCTTAATGATTTAAAAAATGGCGTTTTTTTTATGTTGACGCAATTTTTCCAAATTAGTTGTTTAATAGGTACAGTCGACGCTCTAAGATACATTTTGATTCTGAGATTGTAGAGCCAACTAACTTTATCTCTGTCTTCGTGTAGTATTTATTGGATGTGATATGAGTGTTACTGTTGAGTATCGTCTTCTATGTGTAACCTATCACAAACAATCCTACATAGATAGTAGAGGAAGTCTGTTACCTTGCGACCTGAGGTAACACACGGATGGTGGGAAGGATCAGGGGTGCAAGGAGTCGATTTCCTCACTGCCAGTCCCACAGACTCACAAGACTGATCAGATAAGCTGACGACAAAAGGTGTCTTGGCCGCAGTAAGAGTTCCATCGTCAAAGAGACAGCGTTGATGTCTGGATTCAAAGAGATCTTAAAAACTAGACTAATTATATAAACTCTATTTACATGTGTGCGTATATATTACAAGCTTGGCATCCTTTCTAAGGTGAGGCGTTACTTCACACCGGGACAGTTGCTTCAGTTGTACCAAGCACAAGTCCTGTCGTGTATGGAGTACTACTTACTACCATTTATGGGATGGCTCTGCTAAGTACTGTAGGCTCTACTCTATGAGTAGAATCACTGGCTGAGTGAATAGATTCATAATTGGAATGCTTTGAAAATGAACTAAGAGAAAAGAATTGAGCATCTTGATTATTGATTTGTAACCTAAAGCCGTACTATGTAAAAGAATACAATAAAGTATATTTTGAAGTTTATTCCAC